TTCATATTAGTTCCACCAAAAAATTGATCATGGTTCAAAGTGATGCGCTTTGCAGCAGCTGGTCAACGTGTGCTAAGATATTGAGTGTAATAGTTTTGGCAACGGAAATTCAACAAATGAATAGATGCTTGATATTCAGATATTCCTCGGTCAGCGAAATGGCGGCAGCCAGAACAAAAAAAATGGAACAGTTAACAAACAAGACTCCATCACGCATGAGACAGCACACAAGAGTGGTTGAGATCCAATTTCACGGATAAATTTATTCATGTTTTTTGTTACTCAATTGAATTGAAAATTGTCAAAACATTTTGTTCGTTGAATTTATGCATGTGACATCTGAGCAGTGGCAGAGGGTGAGAACGCAAATCATATAGGAAGGATCCGATTACATATATATGTTTTGCGGCATTTCTTTGCCATATATTGTTTTGTGACCGCGACACAGGCACTACATATTAATATGACAAAATCATAAAAAATACAGTGAGGAAAGCAGGACAAGAATCAACATGTTTACGTTTGAATCAGGTGTAGTGTTGATAGTTGGAGACTTGGTTTGGCCAGTTTTTGTGCCGTTGAAGGCAGTTCAATGCCCTGGTTGTTTCCATAGGAGGGATACTCAAAGTTCCTGAAAGTGTAGTGTCTCATCAAGGGCTTAGCACCTGTACAAAAACTGGACATATTTTTTTCCGTCACTTTGGAGCTGTTCCTTGAAAACCGGGTGTTGCCAGGCATGTTTGGTGGATTTGCAGATGTTGTGCTTATGGTGCAAAGTTGGTGTCTGTTTTGATTGGTTTGGTCGGAAGAAGGTGGAATGTAGAGGTCATGAATCGCATCCCACTTACCTTGTCAAACTGGGGGCATGAGTATCCTCGCCATAGGGAGGCATGGTGGATTCTCGTAAATATGTCAATAAGCAGGCCTTTAGCCAAACGACCACCAGCCAAATGACAGGGTCTTGTCCGTGCATTTTTTTGCAAATTGCTGGAGGATTGTTTGCAGTTTATGCAGATGACTTATTGCAAAAAAGTCAAAAACAACTCCCAGTCAAAACGCGCAGGCCACATAATATTGAACGTTGGTATGGTACCTAACTTTACAACATGTTTTGAACAAACATAATATACTATACCAATTCCTACCTGACTTTGCGGAAAACCTTTTCTTCAGATGAGACAATACCAAACGGATTCATTGCGTATATCTTTGATGAAATTCCCACAAAAGACGTCACCACCACAGGCGTAATTTTGGGAGAAAAATACGTGTTCTGCAAGACTGCATTCATACAAAAGGGCACTGTTGTGGCCAGAACGTGCAACAAAATAAACCTGACCTTCAGGAAAAAGGGCACATTGTTGCAAGCAAGTGCAACATTTCATAGGGTTTCTTTTGACAAATGCAACTTTTCGTGCTGCAATTAAAGGAAAATCCCACACCTCCTTTAAGCGAATGCAAGTTTGGTAGGACAGTGCAGCATTCCAGTAGGCATGCCAAGAATTCTCTAGTGCCGTGGATGGCAATAGGAATCGTAATTTAAATAAAGGTCCAAATTTCTCATGAAGAAAGCATCACCCTGTGGAAAACTCCATCGTGCAGAGAATATGGCAAATGTCCTATGTCATAACGAGGTTGCTGAAATGAATGTGCGAAACTGGTAAGAAGGGCAGCAGAATGCACAGGTGTGTCCGAGGAATCATGCATTTGTTCAAGAGATGCCCTCGGAACACGTATAGTATTAAGTTTTTGTCAACAGGCATTTGCAAAACAAACGTAAACATGAACCGCAAAGAAAACTGGTTAACTTTGCAAATGCATCATTTTTATGTGCAGCCGAAAATGTGCACAGCCTCACATACAAATCACACCAACTTACCGCATGTGTTGAAAATGCGCAGGATGCAGTTTTGTTTACATGTTGCTTGCATTTTGTGCTATGTTTGTCCCAGGTAGCAGGAGCTGGAGCAGAGACTGCACCTGAGGAAGCGCTGGCACGTGTTTTTCTTTAGGCATATTCAAAACATATTCGCACATTATATTCTACAAAGAGTTGGGCTAGCAAGTGGCATTTGATTTACACTGTAATAACATGTAATGACAATGCCGACAATGTCATAATGTGAATACTTTGGAGATATCACTCACGGTGTCAGCTGTCGGCAGGACACACAAACAGATTCAGGTGCACTGGAAGGTCTTGGAGTCCTTCTGAACGTGGAGTAAAGCTCAGTAAAGTGTAGAGTGTGATGATTTAAAGTTATTGAATGAGCCATGTTTGAATGTCTGGACAGAGGGCAAATGCACCAATTTGCTGCACTCCGACCCTGCTTTGCATGCGATTTTTGCATCATGGGCAGTGATGAGAGGAGCGTGAAGATCAATCAAATACAAGGCCCTAGGTATGGACTAGGCAAGTAAGAGGTGTGCAACAGCAGTCTAAATATACTGATATTTGTACGACGTATGAATATATACATATACTGTATATATCTATATATATATATACACATACATACGTCCCCGTCCCATCCATTGGTCTATCTATCTATCTATCTGTCCATCCATCCATCCATCCATCCATCCATCCATCTATCTATCTATCTATCTATCTTGTCTATCTATCTTGTCTATCCTATCAATCTATCCTATCAATCTATCCTATCAATCTATCCTATCTATCCTATCTATCCTATCTATCCTATCTATCCTATCTATCCTATCTATCCCATCTATCCTATCTATCCTATCTATCCTATCTATCCTATCTATCCTATCTATCCTATCTATCCTATCTATCCTATCTATCCTATCTATCCTATCTATCTATCTATCTGTCTATCTATCTATCTATCTTATCTTATCTTATCTTATCTTATCCTATCTATCTTATCTTATCTTATCTTATCCTATCCTATCCTATCCTATCCCATCCTATCTATCTATCTATCTATCTATCTATTCTATCTATTCTATCTATCTATTCTATCTATCTATTCTATCTATCTATTCTATCTATCTATTCTATCTATCTATTCTATCTATCTATTCTATCTATCTATTCTATCTATCGATTCTATCTATCTATTCTATCTATCGATTCTATCTATCGATTCTATCTATCGATTCTATCTATCTATTTTATCTATCTATTTTATCTATCTATTTTATCTATCTATTTTATCTATCTATTTTATCTATCTATTTTATCTATCTATTTTATCTATCTATTTTATCTATCTATTTTATCTATCTATTTTATCGATCTATTTTATCGATCTATTTTATCTATCTATTTTATCTATCTATTTTATCTATCTATTTTATCTATCTATTTTATCTATCTATTTTATCTATCTATTTTATCTATCTATTTTATCTATCTATTTTATCTATCTATTTTATCCATCTATTTTATCTATCTATTTTATCTATCTATTTTATCTATCTATTTTATCTATCTATTTTATCTATCTATTTTATCTATCTATTTTATCTATCTATCTTATCTATCTATCTATCTATCTATCTATCTTATCTATCTATCTTATCTATCTATCTTATCTATCTATCTTATCTATCTATCTTATCTATCTTATCTATCTTATCTATCTATCTATCTATCTATTTTATCTATCTATCTATTTTATCTATCTATCTATCTATCGATCCATCCATCCATCCATCTATCCATTCTTCCATCCTTCCATCCTTCCATCCTTCAATCCTTCCATCCTTCCATGCTTCCATCCTTCTATCCTTCCATCTACCTATCTCTCTGCCGATAATCTTAAATTACATTTTCAAATGCACTTATAAATGTATGTATAGTATATACATCTCAAATTTATACATATATCACAATGTACGTTATAATCTCCAGTATAATATATATATATACAGTACAGGTATTTGGTATATATATATATACACAATTGTAATGGTATCTATCAAAATTTCATGTATATATATATATAAATACATATACACACTCGCACGCACACACACATAATTACATCTCTCTCTCTATATATATATTTATAGATACACATAACTCATACACAGAGTACACATTGATGCACATACATCTTACACTTTCATATTGAACATTTTTCCAACATCAAACAACTGGCTCAAGGGTTAGGAAGACAAGCACGTCCGACTTATTCTTGGAATGCCTAATGCCACTAAGCATGTTTAGATGCGTGTACCATTTTTCAGACACGGTTTCAACCCCTGTCAGACTTTTTATGAGTATTTCAATCAGCCTGGGTGTCCAGTTGTGGCAGATTTGTGGCAAGTGACAAAACCATAGATCGAGTACCAATTGCCTTCGCTGCTCGCTGACAGCTTGGCACCTAGCGGAAATTGTGTGTAGTTTCAAGATGCAGTTGGTAGTTGGTCGTAGCCGCAACGATTTTTTTTTCTCGCTAGGAATTGAAATCTCTGGGGCCTTGATGATATTGAAGGCAGGGCGATGCTCAAAGTGGCTCAAGCTTCACATGCACAGAGCGATTTTCCATACATTTTGTACGTTCAGGATGCAAAATCACAGAGCAGAACACTAAGAACAGCAACTATCAAGTGATATCAAGTTCTTAATTTGGACACTGGTATTGCCGGGGCCCACAAGAACTCTTCGTGTGTGCAAATCTTGCAGACTATTAGGCTCCCATCACCAGTGGCGAATCAAACTTTAAGGCCCAACGTGGCAGCCGTTCAGCTGAATGCAAGGTATAAAGTTTAAGAATTGCAGTCTCCTCACCCAGAATTGCGGGAACCCGAAATTATGTTGACAACCAGTTTAAAGACAATAGTTTCTGAAGGTAAGGCGCTCTGCAACAGGTCAAGATGCCTTGGACAATGATACTCTTGACAAGACCCATGTGTGAACCTGGGCTCCAGGAAGCACTTATTGGACTCGACAGACGCACTCACCCTCTCGTTGGCTCCGTACTCTCTAGTGACTCTAGTGGAATTTTGTTTGCAGTCTTTTGGCCATGGCACTGCTTGGGGAGCCTCAACCCCAGCGAGAACGTCAAGACTTTTCGGCGCCATTGCGATATGTTCCCAGTGCACCTGCTGAAACTCCGTGCCGAACCCGCCGCAACGAAGAGACACGACCATGTCAATTGCGCGTCAATGCCGTACCGAACGCAGCTGGCTCAGCCTACTTGGATTGGGGTTGTGGTTTCTCTGCACGTGTTTGTTGAAGCTGTGCTGCAAAGTTGTATATGTGTAAAAATACATAATACATATGAATAGATAATTAAATAGATAAGATAAAACATAAATAATGTAGACAGAAACTGTGGCACACGACATGCAAGGGCTATATGTGCTTCCACATCCAGATGTATGAAACAAATGTTTGTTGGAGCTCTACATGACCCTGGAAGGAGCAGGGCCGGACCAAGATTATTGCTACTGTCTACGGTCCTCGCCAAGCGGAGCGTGATCGGCCGCAAGCACGTTCTGAAGGTCAACTCTTTGTTGAGATGCACTTTGCTCCTTTTTGCGCTCGGGACTTCAGCAAGGAGGCCACAAAAGTTGGCCCAATTCAAGACTTCAGCGTAGATCAGCATAGATCAGCATGAGCATGTTCAGAATTTTAGAGCAATGTTGAAAGGCGTGTCCAGAAACAAACCTGTTGATGTCTTTTTGTTGAAACCACGACGACGCGCAGTCCTGACTTGCTTGAAGGAGTCTGAGAAGCGGGTAGTGCTTTACACTTCTATTCTGCAAAGTACACTTGAATCAGTGATCCTTTTGGAGACACTTGTTGAGAACATTTGGCTTATCAAGCCATCTATGGTGTAGGTCTGGGAGGAAACGAATGGGAGTTTGGTGTTCCATCTAATTTTTGGGAGGGACGCAAGCGGAAGCAATATGTCAGCCTTTTGTTGCGGTGATTACCGAAATGCCTATGAATGCATATCTTTGTATATCTTTGCATTCTGCCACAACACAACTCCGCTGTGTACTAAGGAGGTATGGCAAAACCGCCTTTGATGTCACTCTGCTTGTGCTGGAGGACGATGGCGCAGTGCTAACTAGCAGCCTTGCCGCTGCATCTTTGGCACTGGCAGATGCAAAGGCACTTGGTTCGGAATGGTCTATAGAAATGATAATGTATTATATAAGTTTGTAATGTAATGTAATGTAACGTAACGGAACGGAACCTAATGTAATGTAATGTAATGTATGTACCAGTAGGTCATATGTACATTATATAGTCTCCTGAACTCATCTTTTTCGCTTGACAAACTTGACGAGATAAATGACGAAATAGTTGAGGCCGCAGATTGCTCCTGGGCCATTGCTTTGGCCGCACAAGGGAGTGCTGAAGTCTTCGCTGGTTTTGTCGGTCTTCTGTTGGGCCCTGTATTCACTACTTAGTCACTACTTGTTTCCAGTTCCCCACACGCCCCGCACGCCCCACGCGGCCAGGTGGAAATGCGAGATCTTATAGCAGGGGCCACTGTCCATCTCGCAGCTGCATCCCCAAAGCCTGCGCTGCTGCTGGATTGTGACCGGGCAGAAGAACAAGCGATGCCTGAAAGGAGTGCCGTTCTACACCTCGGTCTTTGTCCAGCCAGAGGCGAGAGAGACAGAGACAGAGAGCACAGAATCTACATATAATCTACATATAATCTACATAGATAACTCTCTTTTTGTGTGATTTTAATAGGGAACTTCGGACTGCATTGCCCAGCAACTTCAACGCCCAAGGGCTGCAAGACTGGAAGGTGGGAGAATGATCCGAGATATTCCGAGAGTCCTTGTCTTGCCCTTTTTGGAAACATGACTCCTTTTGTTGAAACATGTTGAAACCATCACTTGGAATCTTTGTCTCCAAGAAAAATGCCGAACCGCTTCTTCCGATAAGTCTAAAAGTATCTGGAGTCCAGACCTTCGCAAAGCCTTGGAACACTCTGCTACCACTTCTTTTGACACTGGCCCATTTTTTTAAAGAACAGCTTCAAGCTTTAGAGGTTCTTACTGGTTCTTACTCTTGTGGAACTAAAGAGTGAACTTTGGCGCCTGTGCTGGCCAGCTTTTGTCCACCAGTCTTGTATCCCAGCCGGACCACTTGGCATCGTTGTTCCCTTGTCTACCAGATTCTACCAGCCTATCACATATTTCATCTGAGCATGGTGGCAACAAGTGTATGCGGCGGGTACGCACCTTCGCTTTAGAATTGAGTAACACAATACTTTCAACTCCTTTTTGCTATCACTGGCCTTTGCAGTGTAGATTTCTTGATAGACTGACATTTGCTATCATTCTTGCGAGCTGCAGCAATCAAAGCACACATCTTACATCCTGAGCACTTTGCGTATCCAGGCATGTTATGCTTGCTACATTCTGTGGGCCCCCTGCCGCCGGAGCCTTTTGAGCAGATGGTTCTTCTCGGGAAGGAGCGTGGGCCCAGAGCCGGAACGATTGAACCGACAATTTGGATCCATTTAGGATGACCGACAGAATCATAGCCGTCATAGCCATCATAGCCGTCATAACCGTCATAGCCTCATAGTTGCTATTGTACATGTCAATGTCTCTCTATGTCTCTCTGACAGTACGAGCAAACGGGATGTGGCGAAAATACCTTCACAATCGAAGATATGTGAGATGTCATGGATCAAGTATCAAAGGACCCAAAGAGACAACGGATTTCTTTTGCAACTTTGCGAGTTACCTTCTGGGCACAGGTTTGAAAACACAGCATTTCCTGTGCTGCACATGAAATGCTGGGTTGGCAGCAGGCTTCCAACTGAAAAAACCAATCACGCGGGCCAACATGGGTTGTCTTTCTTTTCCGACAGGAGACAGCAGAAGCGTTTGGAATAGAGATGCGCAGATGTTTGCAAGAGCAGGCCTTCTGAGAGTGAAAGGGAGAGAAGTAGAGAAGGGACAGAAGGGAGAAATCAGGGATAAAGTTGGATACAGGGGATTATTTTAGCTAAAGTTAACCGCTAAAGAGTGGCAGTGAGGGGTGAAACATGGTGAAACATGGTGAAACATGGTGAAACTCCCTAAATTCCAAGGTGACCTGCACTTGATGCACCCTTGACGAGTTTGGATGGTTGATGGTTGTCCTTCTGCTTTTGCTGTGCCTCCATGCAACATGCAACTGCAACGATGTGATTATGCTTTTGCTTGTGAAAGCTTCAAAACTTGTGATTTCTAGTCATCTAGTCATCGCTAGTCCATGATTCCATCCATTTCCAGTGATTCCATCGACAATTCCATCATCCATCATCCTTCAGGTGCAGCGCCGGGCTGAGAAGAAACGAGCACGCTCTTTCAACGAACTCTTGGAAGTTGATAGTGCTTTTTTGCAAGAGGACATGGTGGCAATGGCTGTTGTGGATGATGGCTACGGGTGAGAGTGGAGGGTCCACAATGCTGGCCTCCGGGCTTGCCACCCTGCTGGTGGCCAAAGAAGCTAAAAAAGGCAGGCATTTTGCACACCAAGCCTTTCATTCGCACCATGATTTCGTTGAGCAACAGCGACGGTGTCACAACCTACTTATGTTCACGGGTACATAGTACTTTCAGAACTCTTAGATATGACAAAATGTAATTTCTTCAGATGCTGTTTGTTTTTGGGTGTTGCAGCGCTCATGTGTGCCAGAATCCATCCCTTCCCCTTTGGACATTAGGTCATAGTGATGAAAGCCTTGCACAGTCTCGGTCGATCACTGCAAAAGTGGGGCGCTGAGGGAGTTCTCGGATACAATTAAAGTGTTGTGCATTTTGTGTTGAAGACTGCAACATTCGCATTGCTTCACATGGCTTCGCGTTGCTTCACATTGCTTCGCACTCATCTATAAACGGATGTTAAAAGACTGAACTGACTCTGACAAGACACAGACGCTATTGATTTGAGAGTTCAAGGACGAGGCCAGTTGTGTGCTCGCCGCTGACAACATTGTTGAAGGCCGAGGCGCAGGGGACTGGCGAAAGATGACAGCACGTTTTGACTATGTCACTCTGTCTCGCAGTACAATTCCACTCCTCACTGAGCGTGTTAATTCGCCAATTTTCCGTTACACTCTTTGAAACTGTTGAGCAGGCTGAGGTCTTGTTCCCATTTATTGTCAGATCATGTTGGTTCTGTTTGCGATTTTGGTTGCAGTGCGATGACGCAAATCCATGTAAATCCTAGCATGTCATGTTTGCCGCAAATGAAGAGGCCTCCTGGGTTTGGACGTCTTCGACTGTTCAACGTCGTGGCATGAAGCTAACACCCCGAGAGCTTGACCATCTACGACTGTCCCAGGTTTGGATCTCGGCGAATCTGTATTGGACAAATTCGGATAGATTTGGATACATTTTGCAAGCGCCTTAGAGATCCTTAGAGTATGTATGTGTATGTATATATATATGGATACTGCATGGGATACTGTATAGTGTATCGACTTGCAACATGTTTGCAAACCCCTTCAGACATTTGGCATGGGCTGCGGGCAGCCTCGATTGTTTTCGTTCAGCAGTCATGACTAGACCAGAGGTGTTGCGACAAGGGATGCAGTGTCCCGATTTTGATGCGAGACGGGCTAGATCGTTCAAAAAGATTCAAAAAGACTCTCGTGATTCAAGCAGTCAGCCAGAGCAAAAAACACGCGGAAAGTTGGGAAAAGGAATAGGAGGGCTTAGCATGTAGACTACAAGGGACATAAAAGAATAACAAGAAGAAAGACGTAATCATTTCCCACACTGGGAGCTGTCTTATTATTTAAATACAGCCAGAAACCAAGTGCAGTATTCCAGCCGACAAATCTGCCCATGTTCCTCTCGAAGTCACAAGTAAGAGGTGCTTGGTGGTGCTTGGTTTGTCGGCTGTGCAAGCATAGGTTGTACATTCGACCCAGCTGTTTAACTCTACCCCAGTTGGATTTGGTATCAGCTACACCTGTCACACACCAAGTCTGTCATCGCCGTCGCGGTTTGAGTTGCTTTGTGTGAGTCGAGCGCTTTACCGAGAGCCGAGAGCATCATCCGTTTGATCATCATTTGAATTTGGTGTTCAAATTTCCACTCCTTCTCTGTATACATCTGTATACTATACAAGTATACAATGTGTACCATCACCCCATCTTGTACTTTGCACACGTGGATTGTCACACTGTCTTCATCCTGTGGTCAAGCCTGAAAAAAAATGTGCTTGAAACAAAGCAAACATGGGCCATTGGAAGGACAAAAGACAGGACCACCAGTCTTAAGAATTGATAGACAGAAGACAGAGTGCAAATGAGAGCAATTGCAATCAGATCCGTCAGATCCAATCATTTTCACTTTACAAATTCATCGGGTGAATCGAATGAACTGACCTGGGGGTGATTTGGCAGTGACGGACCGTGACGGAATTCAAGGCCGGGCAGCTGGCCCAGAGGCGGCTTGCGCGAGGGTTGCGCCTGAATCACCCAGAGGTGCCCACAGCCATTCTTCAGCTCACCATTACTTGCCGTAGCGGTCATTTCTGTAAGGCTGTAGCCGATGTTGCCGCTGTAGCAGCATAAACGTGTCTTTTTTTCGGGCGGAACGTTGATTTTCAACGGATGGTTCCCACATGTTCAAACCCAAAGAGGCAGAAGCAGAATTTCGGTTTTGACTCGTGAGGCAATCGCACTCTTGACCAGTCAAATGATGGAGTAGGAGCCTGAGATCGCCCTGCCCATGGTATCCTTCAAACAAAACATGGAAGGTTGACAAGTTTTGTCAGCAACGAAGTCACCCGATCTTGTTTGACACCACAGAGCGCAAAGACAATTCGTATTCATCAACGGAGGCTTTTAGACTTTTTTTAATCCTGCGTGATCCTGCGTGATCCTGCGTGGTTGCTTTTCTGTTTTACTGCCTGCGTTTGCTTTTGCTTGTCTGCATTTCTGGTTTTTGCTTTCCCATTTTTTCTGCTCCCTTACCATTCTCCATTTGCTCTATCTGCCTTTTTGTTTATTGGTTTTTTGTTGTTCTACTTGCCTTTGTTTTGCTTTCTTGCTTGTTTGCTGTTGTGCGCTAGGTGTGTTGCTGTTCTCCTTGGCTGCTTATCCTTTGCTTTTCTTTCCGGACCGTATGCATAGTAAACACAGTGTATATGTGTATATGATTGTATATACATTTGCAGTGTGCAAAGTACAGTTCTCAGTATTGCAGTTTCTACCGTGCATATACACATCTTGAATATCACCTATTGATAGGGTATGACGTGTAGATTTTGATTGTAAGCAGAGTTTGTGTTATGTAAAGGTTTGACAATACAAGTATATCTCAATTATATATACGTGTTCGAAACACACGCACACACACATGTATATATATATGTATACATACATACATACATACATACATACATACATACATACATACATACATATGTATATAAATAGCATGCATATTAAACACACGATTTTTCAAGAGGTGTAAGCTGCCTGAAGAGTGCGTCTAGGATAGGACATTTGCATATTCGATGAATTTATGGTCCGTGCAGGTATGAAATACATGTTGTAAATATTTGTAAATGTCGTATTTGCAGAACTTAATGACAGTTAATGCGTTCATAGAGAGTAAGGAATTTTGTACAGGCGGAAGTCCTTTTGCTCCACAGTCATGTTCTACCGCCATGCCAAGATATACCAAGATATACCAAGATGGTTGATTAGCCGCTTAGCCGCTTAGCCGCTTAGCCTACTTTGGTGTGTCTTGACATTCGCCGGTATTGGTCACCTCAGTGGACTATGCGTTCTTCTTTTCAATGCTTGTGTTATGGTGTTATGGAAGCACAAGCCAACGTACTCAAGACGTACTCAAGACGTACTCAAGACGTACTCAAGACGTACTCAAGACTTTTTTTCTCATCTGTCTCTCTTCAGTTTGCTTCTTTTTGGGAGTGGGACATCCTTGTTGGCACGATTCTCAGAGTAAGTTCTTTTGCACTGGTGGCTTCTTGATTTGGTGCGTTGGGGGACCACTTGCAACCTGTACTCGTCCATCTCTATGACTAAATTTTATGATATTGTATAGCTATGTATAGCTCTCTTTCTCATCAAGTCGCTTCAATACATTGAACCTGGTGGAGAGGAGGGTAAGAAAGAGGAGGGTACAGGAGGCTGATGAGAGGAAGAGAAGAGAAGCGGAGTGAAGAAAGACAAAACAAAAAAGGAAGAGCAGAAAAAAAACAGAAACTGGAAAGATGAGGAAAGGGATGGGGAGGCAGGGGTGGTTCAAGCCAGACAAAAAGGAATCCATAGCTAGAGCAACTTAAGCACAGCAAAACCTTCACGTAGAGTTGCAAACAATATTGACAAGACACCTCGGCAGGCTGGCTGATTTCCGTGTATTGAACAAACCTTTCATATATGCAACTAAGTCTGCAACTACTTAACTACTTGTCTTTCAAAGGGATACCTAGTGTACAATTCTACTATCACACCTGGACTAGGGATGAACAAACTTGATAAGGTTCATGAAACACATTCTGGGGATCAAATTAGAAAATCCCGAGAAGGTTTTGGGAAATACTTTGGACCAGTCTATTCCAGATTCCTGATGATTTCAATCCGAGTTCCCTTTCTGCCGCAAACCCTCTCTTTTCGCATCTTTCTTCCAGGTTTATTCGAGATGGCGAGTCTGTTGCAACACTGATGGATTTGGGCAAGCAATTGCTGGGCCGCCGGCAGGTGGTTCGGCGTGTTTTAAAGTTTTGGTCACTCGATTCCAAGCTGGTGTGACACTTGTGAGTCGATTGAAGCATATTGTACTTGTCCAAGCATATCTAAACAATTCTAAACTCCCCTACAACCGTACTTCAACCGTACTATATCCATTGCACTTTTTCTATTTTTTCGATTTTCTTTTTCATTTGCCTGTTGAACTCTTGCCAGGTGCTACCAGGTGTCGAGAAACTCATCCCAGATGTGCAGGCAGGGCCAGGCATAGACGGATATAGGCATAGAGTCTACACATTTCCTACACCCATTCAGTCAAATTCAATAAATTGAAACCTGTTTGAAACCAGCAAAGCAAAGCAGTTGGCAAAGCAACATGTATTCTTTGATTCAGTGTGGCTGAGTAGGTTCTCTACTCACATGCTGTTTATATCTGTTTATAGTTTATTGCCCTTGTCGCACATACTATTTTTTGGTGGCTTGGGTTTGAGGTCTGTGATCACGTTCCTTCTTGCGCTACTTGCCCCACATGCACATTCACTCACATCGTAAAGTGTTGCAGATTGCTGCAATGCATGTTTTCACGTGGACGCAAATACAAATCATTGTGTTCATGTCAATTGAGGACAACATGTAGAGCTTGGGCATGAAAACTATCAGAGGTCAGAATTTTCCAGATGACTCGCAGTTGCAGCCACTCTCGAGGATGCTTTATTTTTGGTGATGTGCTAGCAGACCAATACTGTAACTGCTGCAGTCTATGTCATGAGGGTTCCAAGTGGATTTTAGTCGTTTTAGTCGTCCAGGCTTGAAGGTAGTCTTGAGAGGGCACCCCACTGGAGCTGCCACTGTGACTGCAATCTTAGCAGGTGGAAGCAACCTTTCCGGATGGAACAAAGCTGCTCACAGTGCATCAGCCAATCTGCTTTAAGCTAAGGAAAGTTGACAGACTGGCTCACTGACATTCTTTTTTTGATAGGTTTGTTTGGTTGCTCATTTCGACAGGCCCTTGAAGACGTGGAGCATTGCTTCGATTGCTCTTCTCTTGACAAGAAATTGTTTCCTCTAGTTGTAGCATGTTTGAAGGATCCAGTCATGCAGGTCTGGGTAGCTTGAAACTGCATGAGAACTTGATTGCCCTCATTGACTGGAAGGACGTGTGACAATGTTGCGGTTTCGCCTGCAATCAAACTTGCAAAACCTCCTAATTTTGGACTTTTGTATCTCGGAATTTATGGATGCACTAAGGCAATCTGGATGGAGATCTAGGCTTGGCCTTGAAGGGCGTGGAGGCTCAGATTGAATAGGCAGAAATTCAGAGAAGGAAAACGCAAGTCTTCGTCAAGATAGGTCTACTTCTATTTGACAATATCAAGCTTTCTGATAGCATCGTGATCTTATATAAATGTAAAGCGGTAAAGCGAAGTGCGTTCTGGAACGGTCTTGCAAGGTATTTTCTGGAAAAGCCGTGGGATTATTGGAGGAAAACATGCTCAAGCAAAGAACCAAGACCTCGGTCTCGCACCGTGCATTTTTTCCGATGAACTGATGAACACCTTTTGAACAACTTGGAGTTATCCATGTGGTTTGCGCACTTGATTTGAAAATGCAGAGAACAGACAGGCCTGAGTCAAAATTCTAGAAGCAGGGAACGACATAAAATAATATTATGATACATATATATATAAGTATATACATACACATTTGCTACTACTCATTCGACCCGTACCCAGATAGTCTACCTAACCAGTGACTGGTTTGAGAACAGAACGGGACCTCCTGGGAGTGCAGTTTTCCCATGATTTAAGATAATATTTTGAGAGGTTTTACTGCACTCCCAGATGCCTTCTTACATAAGAATCTGACACAGACCCCTAAAAATTACTTGCATACTCTTTGACGGGTGGCCCCACAAATTGTTTCCATACTCTTTGGAGGAGGACGAAACCCCAAAAACCAAAAAAAACATTGGAAAAAACAAAAACACAAAAAACAACAAAAAAGCAAAAAACACGCATTAAACAAACAAAATCCAAACTCTTTGGAGGAGGGGGGTCTAGACAAGAGTCCCTAAATATATATATATATACATATATATATATATTTGTTTTTATATTTTTTCCAATATTTTTTGTTTTTTCTCTGTTCCTATCTTTTCCTGCCTGCTGCACTGTTCGGTCTACTGGGTTCGCAGGGACCATTTTTTTCTAAGCAAGGAGTGTCACCAAAGGAAAACAATATTGCATCTTTTTCAAGGAAACTTGCATAAAGGCATGCCACACTGTCCTCAAGGAATACAATGATTTCTTAAAGTGCAACTGCTTATTGAAGAATACCTTTTCAAAATAATGCTTGACTTTCTGCAAGGAATATTATTCTTGTTCAAATGACCATTCCATGGAGTCATACTGCACTTTCTTACAGAAACATCACCCTCTTTCCAAGGGTTTGCTATACATATATATATATGAAAAGGTTCCCTTTAGTACAAGAACTTAAACAATGCCATACTCTTCTTTCACAAGGACTGCTGTGTGTCCTGAAGGCTACTTTCTCAAAGGAATGCCACACACTTTTGAAAGCAATACTGTGTATACATGTAAAAACAATCAACATGCTCCAAAAACATATCATATAGTGAATTATGTTATCTTAAAATGATGTTATATTTTTCCATTTGAATGTTGTTTCTTTTGTCGAAGGGAGATTGCCAAACACCATTGTTCAAGCTAATATATTTCATGAAATCATCAAGTACTTTGTTCAAGGAATGCCGCACTCTTGAAAAAGTAACGTGTACATTAAAATTTTTATCTTAGAGAGACGCTACCCTTATCTGAAATAGTACTATCTCTATGGAAGACATACCATATTTGTTCCAAAATATATGGAAGACATGGTGCACTCTTTCTAAAGGAATGCTGTGCACATGTCAGGACCCTGCTTCACAGTAATGATGCACTTTATCAAAGGAATGTTGCCCGCTCTGTGCCTTTATAATCTGAGTTGATACTGTGTTAAAGAAGCACCATTTTTTTTGGAAGAGAACAGCATGCTTATCCTTATAAAACGTTCATTATCTCTTTAAGATGCAGGAAACTCTGTCAAGAAGATGCAATACCGCTTGGAAACAAAATGAAATCTCCTGTCAATCAAAAGTATTGCTTCCTCTTGTTCATGCTTTGCTATTTATAAAGACATGCAGCATAGAAGCAAACACCACCCTATCGTTGAGCGTGGCGCAGCCGGTCAAAATTGAATTCCATGTCTTTGATATTCATTGATTCCATACAATATTTCATAGCAAAAATGGCTGCATTACAGCATATTTCTACCAAGCCAAATTTTCCCAGCTGATTGACGGGTTTGCTTTCAGGTCCTTGTAGTTTATTTTTGCATGATGTACAAATTTGGATATGTACCGTATACACACAAGACTTGAAGCCAAAAGTTCTTACACAATACATACCTATATATATAGATATACATATATATATATATATTCCTACAGCTCTATAACTGGTACGCCTCAAAAGTAAGACAAACATAAACAGATGTTTGAAGTGACTCATTTTCTACATTATTCAATACATAAAACTTACCAAAAAGCGCACTCCCACAAAGACCCGGACTCTTTAAGAAAGGATGGTGTAGAGCACGTAGGCCGTTGGACCCAAGATGAGTCTGTGCCAAATCCATAAATCAAATGAGTTTATGGGCACTCAGATTTGACTATGCAAATCGAAGATGGTTTCGGGAGCACAAGATTCCCTGGAGACTTCACTTGCACAGAAGAGGCTTGACTTGCACTATTCGTTCTCAAAATTTTCGATCAGTCAATAGGGATTGCACAATTGAGCAGCTGACCGACGCGCAAGAGCGAGGCCGTGAAACAAAACCAGACCAGTGTAGGAACAAACAGATAGGAACACCAGTGGTATTTCAACGTGCGCCTCTATGAACCTGTAGCTGCTCTAGCTGTTGGCTCAGAGGCTGTGTGCTTAAACTGTTTTCATTGCCCGCCATGGGAAATGGATATTCAGATTGTGCTTGCGAGCCTTGCACCTGAGATGGCTTTACCCAACACCGGACTATGAGCTTCTGGGGGTTGAACTATTGAAACAGGTTGGAACCCTTCAAACTTGCAACTACTTAAATCATGTGCATATATTCTCTCACTATCTAATTACACATCCCCAGGATGTTTTTGTTTCAAGGCTGTAGATAGAGTTTTTCAGGAATTCAAAGAATTGGTGGAACAAGACTGAACCATGGCATTCTTGGGAGAAAAAAGAGAACATAGACCATTTGGCACCCTCTGTTTGCCGAGGAGCACGATGTCGACGCAGGTTGTGCCTCTCGGCCATGGAAATACACTGGATATGGGGCCAGCTCAAGGTTACCTGTAACTTTTGGGATTAATTTCAACAGAGGATGTTACATAGCCTAAAGCATTGAAGAGCGAGTTTTCGAAAGAGCGAGCCGTCCTTCCGAAAGTGCGAGAGAAAGCAGAAGAAAGCAGATCGCCGGAGGATTGGCATCCGTTGAATGTGGTGTAGGCCCGTGTAGGCATCAAAATGGATAAAATGAAGCGTCAGGCGTCAGGATATGTCAGGCCAGGCAGGACCATGTAGTCTTGATTTTTCATCTAGCCCCCAGTGTTCTCTGGTGTCCCTTGCTTGCAACCACTTGCAGTTGTTGTCTCTGCTTATAACTATTACAACACAACCTTGGCTTCGGGCTGGCAGTGTTGTACTGCATTGACCTCCGATTTTTGTGATGCCTCTTGTTCTCAAACATGACATGTTGAACTCAAGCAAGACAGTACAAACGACTTTGACATGCCGCAACTTCTGTCATGCTATCTCAGTGAATTTACGTTTCTTCTACGTTGACTCGAGTGTTGGTAAGTTTGTTGCTGTGAGATGCTTGTGATTTCTGAGGAAGACCTGGAAAGATGTACTGCCTGGACCTCAATTGCAGCCTCCGAAGTACACTGATCTTTCCAAGCTCCTGTTGACTGTGCTCAGTAATGCAATACAATCAAGGGCACTGTATCCCAATTGGTTCTTTGCTCAGTGGATTCTCCATGAAAGGGTTCCCGGTGGAGCATGACAGCATGACAGCATGACCTAAGCCGGACCTAAGGTATTCATCAACATCTACGACTTGAACAGGGACTGGCTAACTGCAAACAAAGTGGGCAAAAAACTACTTAACATGGGGGCATTTCACGCGGCGGTTGAGGTCTACGGCATCTTGGCTGATTTGGAAGTTTGTGGACCGATACCTCCATACACCCTAACTACAGGGGCAGAAATTTTGTTTGGGAAGATGCATCCACAGAGCTGAACATTGAGATATTTGATTTGGTCAATGACGACCAAGTCTTGAGCTTTGTCAACCCCTATCTCTTCAAGCGCGAGCCCGCAAACATTTTGTACAGATTTGACGCAGCCAAGCATTTGTTTCACTTAGGTCACTTGGGTCACTTAGGTTAATGCGAAATGTGTGTTGCGCTCTTGTTCAGCTTAGGTCATGAATGGTCATATGGATGTGAGGGTGTTGAACGAGCAGAGCCTCGTCGACACGAAGTGCGCCCACTTCCAGAGCAGTTCAAATAACTCGTATGCAAAAAAGACCACCATCAAGCAGGTGACCAGGCAAACGATAAAGATAAGTGAAAGCACGAAGGATAGGTCCGGAAGGATAGGTCGGGTAGATGAATGGGACCTGAATAGGAGAAGCATGACAGGAGAGACGGCAGGGCAGATCCCCCCGTTGATCAGCACCTTGATGCAGAAAACGAAAGAGGGAACAGACGTGCATTGCAGGCTTGAATCGGAAAGGATCAGACGGGTGACTGAGTCACTTATGTACAGTCGGGGTGACTGCATGTGAGACAATGGGAGAGCAACAACCCCAGAATCAGAAGCAAACGAAGAAGCAGAAGCTGATCACATGCAAAATACATCAAAACACATGATTTCAGAAACTACCCCCAAATGAATCAGAAGGTAAGAATCTCTGAATGAGACTGAATGATAAGAAGACCTGTAAAAAGCTAAGACTGAAGTCCACGGGTAAGAAACCAAACTACAAACCAAGAATCACGAATCAAAAACTAACCTGCCTGGATTAGAAACTTAGGTAGACTTAGGTCGGCAATCGACACCACCCCCGTTTAGCATTTGCATTAATTACACGTTTGACGAAGACGAAGCCCCACCACCCGCTCTGGACAGTTTCCTCCAGAAACACGGCCCGCCTGAACTTCCAATTCCTTGGTGCAGACATGGGAGAAAGCCGCCACGTCTTCTGAACTTCGCAGTACGAGGTAACAGGCAAGATGTGCTGAACTGAGCTAAGATTCAAATCCAAAAAACGGATTTAGGCATCCAAAGAACAATTAGCTGGTAGCTGGATAGTTTGGAGCTCGTGAAATGCTAGCACATTATCAAAGCATGGATACAAAATGCATGCATCAATATGCCACACCAAATAGGTAGACAGGAGGTGCATGTAAAATGCCAGTATCATGGCATATTGGATGCCATGAAATACAACAAAGCACAGGATAAGCAGGATTTGACGAAAACACATCATAACAAATGCAAACGAGAGACTGATCTTTTTAGAGGTGTGGCTTTGTTTGAAAGCAAAGGGAGAATCTAAGAGCAGGCAAAGGGTTTGTTTGACAGGGCAAGACAGGGCAGGTCGGCCAAAGAAAGCACAAATCCGCTTCGGAAAGCTTCTGAAATCGTCCAGCAACCAACAAACCCAGGCAGTAGCATTGTAACTTAAAGGAAAGCATCAGAGAGGATTGGATAGTACCGGAAGCATGGGAAAACATGCAGCAAAGTATCGCTGTTTGTCATATTGGAGATGTTCCCATGATTTACTGTCTGGCCAATGAGGGGGTGATGCGTCAGCTAGCCCAAAACAGCAGGGCACAGCACATTCACCCACAATGAAAGAGGTAAACAGAACATGACTGGTGCAGGGCTGACTGAAGAAAAGTTGTTTGGAGATGTACTAGCATCAGCAACCATGGGAGAGGCGTCAGTGGCACAGGAGAAGACTACTAACAGACGGCCCAAAGAAGGATTGAAGATTTGGTGCCAAAGCAGGGCTGTCAATACCACCTTGCAAGCCCCAGTGGCACAGAAATCCATACATATGAGTTTGGTGCTTTGAATTCTAATTTGAGTATTCATTTTATTCATTTTATTCATTTTATTCCATACAATTTCTAGGCATATCACATGTCTATCTTCATTCCACACTTTCAGGAGCAAACTTTGCTTCATTGGGTTGCTTCCATTGGAGGTACACATCTATCGTCAAAGCGTGAACATGGGTCCAACATCGATGAGTGAGATTGAGGTAAACAAGATCATAGAGGCGCCCGAGTGTGTTTCCTGTTGCCTTGCAATGCTTAACAATGGTTGTCACCTGGTTGTCAATGCTTGAACGCATTTTTCTTAGCGGAAACAACTTCGAAGAGCTTTCCTTCAATTGACAGCGGAAATCAAGTGAGGAATTTCACCACCTCATGTCCAATGTATGGTGGGTAGGACGTGTCTTGACCACACGCTAAACCAACTAAAGATAGGCCTTAACCAAGTCCAAAGAAACCCTAAAATCAATCCTAAATAGATCCTAAACCAAACCCAAATACATGTTAAACAACGCCTAAATAAACCTTAAACCAACCCTAAATAGATCTTGAACAAGGCCTACATAGATCCTAAACCAACCCCTAAACAAACCTTAAACCAATCTTAGATAGGTCCTAAACCAACCCTAGATAGATCCTGAACCAAACGCAAATAAACACCAAAACCAACCCTAAAAAGATCCCAAACCAACCTATATAGATCTTCCAATCTTAAATAGATCCTAAACCAACCCTAAATAGATCTTAAACCAAACCTAAATACACCCTAAAACCAACCCTAATCCTAAACCAAACCTAGATAAATGTTAAACCAAACCTAAGTAAACCCAAAACCAACCCTAATCCTGCCCTTAACTAAACCTAAATAGATCTTAGATTAAACCTAAATAAATCCTAAATAGACCCTAACTCTAAAACCAACGCTGAAAAAACCTGAAACCAAGCCTAACAGAAACCCTAAACCAACCGTAAGACTAACCCTAAATGAATCCTAGTTGCAAACTAGCATGTTACAGTTCGAGCACATATACCGTTGAAATAGCTCCAAAATGCTGCAAATAGCACCAACATGTTGCAAATTCTATGGAAAACGAGAGGTTCGGTAGTTGCAATGGCAGGTTCCAGCTCCAAAATGCTGCAAATAGCAAGGAACATGGACAGAACAGGAAATCCCCAAAAAAGAATCGCAAAACCGGGAAAAGAAACCAAAACAATTCCGGACCCTATAAAAAATAAAAGGACCGGATAACCCCACATGTCAAGCCTTTATGTATCTAAGCCTAATGTGAACTTCGGGGAGGTGTGAGAAGTGAGGTGTGAGAAGTGGACTTGTGATGTCAGGTGTGAGAAGTGGAGCTGTGATGAGTTCTGATGTGATAAGTGAGGTGTGAGAAATGGTGTGAGAAGTGGAGCTGTGATGAGTTGGGATGTGATAAGTTGTGATGAGTTGTGATGAGAAGTTGTGATGCGATAAGTGAGGTGTGAGAAGTGAGGTGTGAGAAGTGGAACTGTGATGAGTTGGGATGTGATAAGTTGTGATGAGTTGTGATGAGAAGTGGACCTGTGATGAGTGTTACGAAAGGCAGCCGCGGCCCAGCGGCAGCCACGCGCGCCGCAGTTGCTCCAGGAGGCTCTGTGTGCTGCGCCAGCCACGCGAAAGGCAGCCGCGGCCCAGCGGCGGAGAAGTGGAGCTGTGATTGGGAGCTGTGATGAGTTGAGCTGTGATGAGTGGATGGTGAGAAGTGGAGCTGTGATGAGTCTTGATGGTGAGAAGTGGGAGGAGCTGTGATGAGTTGAGCTGTGATGAGTGGATGGTGAGAAGTGGAGCTGTGATTGATGAGTGGATGGTGAGAAGTGGAGCTGTGATGAGTTGATGGTGAGAAGTGGGAGGAGGGAGCGGCGGGAGCGGCGGGAGCGGCGGGAGCGGCGGGAGCGGCGGGAGCGGCGGGAGCGGCGGGGGCGGGAACCGGAAGAGGAGCGGCGGGATCCAAGCGAAAAACAAGAACCCCAGACAGTGATGTGGGGAATAAAACCAATCAATGCATTTTTTCAGTCCGGTATGGTATAGATATGGACAGTGTAGAGTTGTGTCTGACAGTTCTTGTCCCATTTTGTTCCCCCATCCCTGCTGGTCAAGAGTTTGGTCCACAGCGGCTAGTGGTTCACATTGTCTCATGAAGTGATCTTAGTGAAGGCTTCTTCCAAAAGCTTCTCACACATCTTTGGAAAATTTCGGAAAACGGTTTCTATGCTCGGTTTGCGGAATACCGGAAGAATCTTGATTGCTGCCGCTGGGCAGATCCCCAAGTGCCACAGTGGCAGCTTTTAATCCGATCTGGCTGCAGACACTTTATTCAGTAAAACCGTAAAACCTTTTTGAAGGGTTCAACCTGTTGTATAATATATTTTCTTGAAATATTTGGATGAAAACGCACGCAACAATCAAAACCTTTGTGATCGCGTTGAGGTAGATGGAGGATACCTTGCGGTATTATTGTTGCAATTGTTTTTCAAGGATACCTTAGACAGATTTCGGCATGAAACCCATTTGAGAACATCAATGATCTGGTTGTGTCAGTTCTGGTCTTTTGTCAGGCCATGAAACCTTTCTGGCTCGCCCATGAATACGACCTGCTGCAGCACAATTGCTGTAGCTTTGCAGATGCCTTTAGCCAAGAGCTGCTTGGACTCTGGAAGATAGAGTCTCTACAGTCTCTACATGTCTCTACGTTGCTCTTGATAAGTGGTGCGAAGAGGCTCTAGCCGCCTCTAGCCATCTACAAAACGTGACATCCATAATGTTGGATGAAACAATCTGCTTTTGTAGAGCATGATCTATATTGAACACAATATACTTACAGCAGAAGTAAGGCAATGAGCAGATTCTAATCCTGATGACAGCCATTCGGAGTTACGGCTTCACATACCAAAATCCTGCTTGAAAGTGCTCAGGCTCACACAGAGACCCTTGCCTCCGTGGGTCAACCGCAGCTTGGATTTGAGTGTTGAGAATGGTCACGGAATGGTCTCACTTTGCCTCTTTCTTTCTGTCATAAATTGTGATCCATTTATCCAGACGAATCCAGACATATTTTGAGCATCTGTGATGTTTGGATAGCTGTAATCAGCTCAGCTACTTGCTGTTACTTGCTGGTGAAACCATGTGACACCATGTGAAACGATGTGAAACCCAGGTCTCCCGAGGCTCTTGTCAAATGTTGACCTTGTCTCTCCAAAGTTTAGCCGGTCAGCGTCGAGCTTAGCTGCCTTCGTTCTGTTTGCACGTGTTTTGTGGGGAGCTGGCTGAGCAAAGAATGGAAAAAGTAGATTTGTGAGAATAATCTGTTCGCAAGATTCTCAAGATTCCAAAAGATCAATACTCAATAGCTCTCTCGTTCACGTAGCTGAAGATGTCCTCAACAGTCAAGCTCAGAGATTCAAGGTGTCAAGAGCTACATTCCGGCTCGAAGATGACGAAGGAGTCCTGGCAGTGAAGTGATTGAAGCGGCTATCTAAGATTACCTAAGATATCTATAGTTAACTATAGTTTTTAGTTTTTAGAAATTTGATTTTCCCTAACCGCAGTAGCTGCAGTAGCCTGAGTATTTGGGAACTTGCTGATGATGTTCATGGCTGCCAGCAAAATGGATCCCGTCAGTCCTTTGCTCCTTGATGTCCTGTACAGAAGGATTGTGACACGGAGAGCGCAGAGTGAAGTGGGTAGGGCCTGAATACGATATGCACAAAATGTATCAAAATGTCTTTAGTACGCCGTGCTTTTGTCTTTGCCTAACCTTGTTACACCTTTTAATTACCTTGTTTGGCTTCCTTTTTGTTTTGGATTGCAAATATCGATTTGTCTCGACTTGTCTCCCAAAGGTGAGCATGATGAAAGCCCAAAGATGGACGCGGTGGACACGTACCCAAGCCTTGATAGCAGGACAGCCTCAAACCTGGTCCAGACCCTACCTGACTCATTGTGACTCAGTGTGACTGTGATTCAGTGTGACTGACGTGGTGAAGTAGTGGTTGATTGAAAGCAAGCGTGAAGCATTTAGTCCTTCAACAATGGTTACCAAGGCAAACGTGTGAGATCTCTGGCACGCGGCCACATGCAACAATGCGTCTGACATCATTCTTAATGTCATATTATGCAGGACTACATTTTACTTGCATGATTTGAAGAAGCCAAAATTGACCCGTGAGGAATACAGACTTGAAGTGCTATACAAATTTCAGTCTCACAAAGTCCATTAAACAGAGAGCAGTTGATTAAATGTGTCTCAAAGTCTCAACTCCGAAAATTATGACACAGAATGTGCAGAAGAACTCGCAGAGTCTTACTCCTTCTGCACCCTTCTATCTTCCAACTGGAGAACACGCGTGCTTGCCTATTTCCCAGTTTCCAGATCAGGCCCCGATGGAACAAAAGCGGATTGTTTAAAGAATTGGAGCACCATTGAAGATCTTGAAGCAAAATCCAGATCGTCATTGCCAGAACCACAAGAACCAACCGCCGTTTGTCGTTTGCCAAGACTTGATCGCTTGATCACTTGATCGTAATTTGATTCAAGCTTCCAGGTGCTCATAGAGAAGCTCCCAGCTTCGATGAAGACTAGCTGCAGGCTTTGCAGTAAAGTATTCTGAAGAAATCCCTAGAAATCCCTAGTTTCCGTTCAAGGATTGTAACATGAAAGGGCAAGGCGTAGTGAACAAAACCAACTTGCACCAACTTGAACAAACAGACTGAAACAGACTGCAAAGCGGTGGCCAAGGTGCGACGGGTGGAACATTTTACTCATGACTGGTTACTGATGTTACTCTACTTGTTAAAACTCTTAAGCTTTGCGTGAAACCCGTGAAACCTTGTTAATACCTGGTGCTGATCTCAGCATGTCCCAAGACTCTACCCTTGTGACTTGCTGGTTTCGGTGCAGATGCCGTGGCAGTAGCACCAGTGGGTGAATGCATTGCTGCATTACACAGAAAAAGATGTAAAAGCAGCATGATAGATTTAAGACCAGAAACAATCCCAAAGGGCAGTAAGTGCTCGGATCAAAAGCTCTATGTTGAAGGCAAACTTAAACTTGCAACCTCCAAGGTCTGTCTAAAGGTCTGTCTATGTGGGCTGATGCTGATGTAAAGATTGTAATTGTGATGTATATGTATATAGTATATCTATATAGTATAGTATATATATATACAGAAACATACAGAACTGTACATGTACATATATTATGCATTTTTTTCAACACGTGTTTTGTATGTTGCTTTGCAAAGCTAAGATTTGAAGGCATTCGCTCTTGCTGGTGCAGGGCTCGATACTTAAGCAGCTGCTCAGCCCGGATTTATACTCGGCCTGAGCTTAAGGCCTCGGCTTACCTGGCTGGATCGCTTAGCAGAGTTTCCATGTTTCAGGTGTCAGAACTTCTAAGAACTTCATGGAAACAGCGAGGTTACCTCGCACGAACACGGCATGAACAAGTCATGAACTTGAGTATTCGATTGTTCGAGCTTGACAATGACAGGCTCCAGGACCTGTGACAAGCCAATCCTAGCGGACACTCCCTTGTAGACCCTTCTGTTATCTTCAAGTTGTTTTGATTTCACACTCCAAGATGTAAACCTGCGCCGCCCTCACTTCTTCAAGTCAGTGTCCGATAACGGTGGATCACCTTCTGTAATACAAATTTGAAAAGTCTTGTTGCCCTGCATCAAAGAGAAAGGCTCACCTAAGACTCTGCCACTTGCATTGCACAAAGGTTTGTCCCAAGGGCCGATCTACGTTCCCTCTGGGTGTATTGCTTAAATGCGACCAGATATACATTCATCATACGTTCATCACATTTTACGGTTACTTCTTCTGAATTTCAATCTGCACCATTATCCACCACCGGGAGAAATATGGCGTGCTCCAGTACCACAGTGTCCCATTGGAGAAGAATTGTATTTGTTCGGCGAGTAGCTAGTGAGATGAATCAAATATTACCTAGAGCAAAGAAACTCTTAATTGACGGTGTGTACGCACATACATTTTGATATGACTCTGTCATACTCTCTTGGTGGCTACATTTATCATGAACGACACAGCCTACGTCGGGTATCTGGGGCCGATCCGCGAGCACTTGTACAGCATTTTAAGAGACTGAGCTGAGCGGTATGTTAGCAGTTCAGCCTCTAACTTTGAGCTGGCAAGTTTCTCGCAGAGTGCTGGGGCAATCAACAGATGTTGAAAGATCTGCAACTCTGCGCATTCAGCCACTACTGGTACTTTAAGATCTTGGTGATCAGAATGCTAAAAGCATCGAGGTCAAGACATCGGAGTTATACAATGTAGTACTGTTGTACTATTACGAGATAGTACGAGTACTACTATTCAAGATCGTTTTTCCCATTGGCAAAACTTTGCTATGGGGTCTTTAGCCCAGATTAGCTCTGGTGCGATCCGGTGCAGCTTCAACCAGGTTCCGCGCAAGGTTCCGGAGGGTTCCGGTGCAGACACCTATTGAGGTACTTGGTGAGGTTCTGGAGGGTTCCGGTGCAGATACCTGGTGAGGTTCCGGAGGGTTCCGGTGCAGATACCTGGTGAGGTTCTGGAGGGTTCCGGTGCAGATACCTGTTGAGGTTCGGGAGAGTTCCGGTGCAGATACCTGACAAAGGCTCTGGTAAACTGCACGGGTAGCAGACGCAGAGACCAAGGATGCAACCATCATTTTGGTAAACTGCACGGGTGGCAGGCGCAGAGACCAGGGATAGGTACAGCTTTTTGTGGGAATGTTTCATATGCCCGTGCGCAACATTATACTAAATGGTGGTTTTGCTTAGTATCCCGTTTCTCTGTATTTCACACACTGACATGTCAGATACTGATTGTGATGATGGTAAATGCAGACAGTACGTGTGAGATCAATGTGCTTTGGATGCGTTACAGCACTTTAAAAAGTCAGTTTTCTCATGAAGTACATGTATGAGATCCCTTTGTTACGCAGTTTGAAGTGTTTGAGATGTTTTTTCTGTGTCTTTGAGATGTTCCAGAAGTTTGTTTTGTGTCTTTGACATTTTAAAGAAGTTTGGTCAGTGTCTTTGAGATGTTTGAGAAGTTTGTTCTGTGTTTTTGAGATGTCGTTTTGAGATGTTTGCGCAAAGCGGAAATTGGCGTCCAATACCAATCATTGCAAAAGCTAGGTGCCGGGCATCTGAAAGGCTCGCCACTGTCGTCGCTTTCCAAACATTTTATATGGGGGAATCGAGGAGGCTCAAAAACGAAACTTTAGTTCCATAACCAATACCATCGTCATCATCATCACCATCATCATTCTTACCATCATCACCATCATCATCATCATCATCATCGTCAAGAGAACCTACAGCAGTGTAGCATGACGTATGTGTGGAAGTGCAAGAGATCCTACAGCAGCATAGCATGACGTATGTGTGGATATGAATGAAGTGCAAGAGAACGTACAGTAATGTTGCATCACGTATGTGTGGACGTGCCAATGACGTTATTATCCGACCCCACCCCACCCCACCCCACGCCCATCCCCCCATCCCCCCACCCAATGTTATGTTGATAGTATGATGCAAAAAAATGACAACAGTCGCGAGCCTCTCAGATGCCCGGCGCCAAGAAGTATATAGATCCGCAAAAGACGTTGGCAAACAAAAAAACTGACATCGCTGAATTCGGCGCATACCCTGTTTGATCAAGCGCGGCACGCGTCCAAACAAATATATGACAAACAACATGGCAAGGCAAAGGGAACAATCTCAGGACAAGCCGGCGTGAGAACCACTCAACACAACATGGCCGCAAAAACCTTAAGCGTCACATTGAAACATCACGACATTGTGGGCGAAAAGAAAAGCAAGGACAAAGGCGGGAAAGACTGATCCGCAAAACGTACCGGCAAACAGCAACAAGTGACAGTGCTGAATTTGATGCATAGTCAAAAACGGTTCAAGCACGCACAGCGCAAACCAAAGCAAAAGTATGAAGGACAACATGGCACGGAAAAGGGAACAATCCTAAGCCGAACCAGCCTGAAAACCATTAAAGCAAAATGACGGCCCCAAAGCCTGAAGTGATATATCGAACGTCACGACGGCGTGGGTTTAAAGAAAGGCGACGACAAAGGTGGCATGGACTCACGCAAAACCTGACTCGCGATCTGGTACTGCACGGGTGGCAGGTGCCAAGACCAAGGATCCAACCATCACTCTGGTAAACTGCACAGTTGACAGGCGCAGAGACCAGGAATCTGACAATCAATCCGCTTCACTGCACCGGTGGCAGGCGCACATAGGAGCACACAGCAACATTTTTCAAAATTAACTTGGTAAACTGCACCGAGGGCGGGCGCAAAGACCAACAGTTTGAAAATCAATTCGGCCAATTGCAAAGGTGGCAGGCGCAGAGAACAAGCATGCAACTTGATCCAACCATCACTCTCGGAAATTGCACGGCGACAATCAACCTGCTGAATCCACCGATGGCAGCCGCGGACACCCACATTTTGAAAATCAACCTGGTAAACTGCCAGGTGGCAGGCGCAGCGCAGAGACCAAGGATCCAACCATCACGCTGGTAAACTGCACGGGTGGCAGGCGCAGAGGCCAGGGATCTGACAATCAATCCCCTGAACTCCAACGGTGGCAGGTGCAGACACCAACATTTCAAAAATCGACCTGGTCAACTGCCAGGTCGCACGCGCAGAGGCAAAAGATTTGACAAACGATTTGGTAAACTGCAGGTGGCAGGGGCAGAAACCAAGGATCCCTCCATCACTCCGGTAAACTGCACGGGCGGCAGGCGCAGAGACCAGAGATCCAACAATCAATCCGCTGAACTACACCGATGCAGGCGCAGAGACCAGGGATAGGTACAGCACAGCTTTTCATGGGAATGTTTCATATACCCGTGTGCAACATCATTGCATGATTGTATGTGTATGCTTGTATGTGTATGATTGTATGATTGTATGTGTATGATTGTATGACAATGTGCGCATGATGTCATGATGACGATCATAAGACCATATGCACTTAATAACAGCCTGTCATCTAACATGGTTGCGCCTGTATCAATTCATGTTGGCTGCTTGCCGAAGATCCGCAATTCTGTTACGTGCAGGAGCGAACACATCAACACCTAAGTAGACACCGTGAGCACTTGCACATTGTATGTGTATTATGCTTTCCAGGGCCCTGATTCATTTACCAGCGTGCAGCACCATTGCATGGTTGTATGTGTATGATTGTATCTCTATGATTGTATGTGTATGATTGTATGACAAGATGCGTCCAATGTTATCATGACGATCACAAGACCATATACAGTTAGTAACAATGTGTAATCCACAATGATTGCGTATGTATGAGTTCATGTTGGTTGCTTGCCGCAGATCCATAAACATTTTTGTCAACAGCGGGACCGAATTATGAACACAAAAGTGTGCAACGCGAACACCTGCATATGTGTTTGCACTACGTTACATGGGAATGCGTCGCACACCCATGTGCAACGTCATTGCATGGTTGTATGTGTATGATTTTATTTGTATGATTTTATGTGTTTGATTGTATGACAATGTGCGCATGATGTCATGATGATGAAAACACGGTCATATACAGTTAGTAACGGCATGTCACCCAACATGATTGCGTTTGTATCAATTCATGTTGGTTGACATACCTGGTGAGGTTCCGGAGGGTTGCGATCCAGATGCTTTTTTAGGTTCCGGAGGGTTCCGCTGCAGATACTTGTTGCAGTTCTGGAGGGTTCCGGTGCAGATACCTGGTCAGCTTCTGGAGGGTTCCTGTGCAGATACCTGTTGAGGTTCGTGGCCTTGGTTCTTGTACCATTGTGCAGCACCATTGCATGATTGTATGTGTATGATTGTATGACAATGTGCGCATGAAGCCACCGTGAAAATCACATGACTACTAGAGGTAGCAACAGCGTACAATCCAACATGACTCCTGGGAAAAAATGAAACAAAACATAAACTTTCAAGCTGTTGGGGATAGCACCTGAGTTTATAAAAAATGGGCTAGCGCCCTGGTGCCGCCGACCCCCCTTTGTGGGGGTGGCAGGGCAGGATCAGTAAATAAAACCACAGGAGAAGTAAAAACAATAATCAACAATCAACAGTATAACAATAACCACAGGTGGCAGGAGAAGCAAAAAAATAAGAAGGGAAAGAAAAAGCCGCCTGGCAAACGACAGGCTTGAACGCCCTTAACAACAGACGGCTGTGGCCTGAGTGCCTGGTCGAAGCTGCCACGCAGGGTTTTAGGGGTTTGAGCGGTTGTAGGGGTTTCAGGCCTGGCAAACGGCAGTCTTGAACGCCCTTGACAACAGAGGGCTGTGGCCTGAGTGCCTGGTCGAAGCTGCTGCGGAGCGTTTTAGGGGTTTTAGGGGTTTTAGGCGTTTGACGCCTGGCAAACGGCAGTCTTGAACGCCCTTAAGAACAGAGGGCTGAGCCTGCAAACGACAGGTATGAACGCCCTTAACAACAGAGGCCTGAGTGCCGGGTCGAAGTTGCCACGCACGGTTGTAGGGGTTTGACGCCTGGCAAACGGCAGGCTTGAACGCCCTTAACAACAGAGGGCTGTGGCCTGAGTGCCTGGTCGAAGCTGCTGCGGAGCGTTTTAGGGGTTTTAGGGGTTTTAGGGGTGTTAGGCGTTTGACGCCTGGCAAACGGCAGTCTTGAACGCCCTTAAGAACAGAGGGCTGAGCCTGGCAAACGACAGGTATGAACGCCCTTAACAACAGAGGGCTCTGGCCTGAGTGCCTGGTCGAAGCTGCCACGCAGGGTTGTAGGGGTTTGAGGCCTGGCAAACGGCACGCTGGTGGGGGTTTGAAGCCTGGCAAACGGCAGGCTTGAAGGCCCTTAACAACAGAGGGCTGTGGCCTGAGTGCCTGGTCGAAGCTGCTTGAACGCCCTTAAGAACAGAGGGCCGAGCCTGGCAAACGACAGGTTCGAACGCCCTTAACAACAGAGGGCTGTGGCCTGAGTGCCTGGTCGAAGCTGCTGCGGAGCGTTTTAGGGGTTTTAGGGGTTTTAGGCGTTTGACGCCTGGCAAACGGCAGTCTTGAACGCCTTTAAGAAGAGAGGGGTGAGCCTGGCAAACGACAGGTTTGAAGGCCCTTAACAACAGAGGGCTGTGACCTTAGTGCCTGGTCGAAGTTGCCATGCACGGTTGTAGGGGTTTGGCAAACGGCAGGCTTGAAGGCCCTTAACAACAGAGGGCTGTGGCCTGAGTGCCTGGTCGAAGCTGCCTCGGAGCGTTGTAGGGGTTTTAGGCGTTTGACGCCTGGCAAATGGCAGGTTTGAACGCCCTTAAGAACAGAAGGCGGAGCCTGGCAAACGACAGGTTTGAACGCCCTTAACAACAGAGGGCTGTGGCCTGAGTGCCTGGTCGAAGCTGCTGCAGAGCGTTGTCGGGGTTTTAGGGGTTTTAGGCGTTTGACGCCTGGCAAACGGCAGTCTTGAACGTCCTTAAGAACAAAATCCTGAGCCTGGCAAACGGCAGGTTTGAACGCCCTTAACAAGGGGTTTCCAGCAAACGGCAGGCTTGAATGCCCTTAACAACAGAGGGCTGTGGCCTGAGTGCCTGGTCGAAGTTGCCACGCACGGTTGTAGGGGTTTGAAGCCTGGCAAACGGCAGGCTTGAACGCCCTTAACAGCAGAGGGCTGTGGCCTGAGTGCCTGGTCGCAGTTGCCACGCACGGTTGTAAGGGTTTCAAGCTTGGCAAGCGGCAGGCTTGAACGCCCTTAACAACAGAGGGCTGTGGCCTGAGTGCCTGGTCGAAGCTGCCGCGGAGCGTTGTAGGGGTTTTAGGCGTTTGACGCCTGGCAAATGGCAGGCTTGAAATCCCTTAAGAACAGAGGGCTGAGCCTGGCAAACGGCAGGTTTGAACGCCCTTAACAAGGGGTTTCCAGCAAACGGCAAGCTTGAACGCCCTTAACAACAGAGGGCTGTGGCCTGAGTGCCTGGTCGAAGTTGCCACGCAGGGTTGTAGGGGTTTGAAGCCTGGCAAACGGCAGGCTTGAACGCCCTTAACAACAGAGGGCAACGGCAGGCTTGAACGCCCTTAACAACAGAGGGCTGTGGCCTGAGTGCCTGGTCGAAGTTGCCACGCATGTTTGTAGGGGTTTGAAACTTGGTAAACGGCAGGCTTGAACGCCCTTAACAACAGAGGGCTGTGGCCTGAGTGCTTGGTCGAAGCTGCAACAGAGGGCTGTGGCGTGAGTGCGTGGTCGAAGGTGCCACGGAGCCTTGCAAAAGTTCGACACCTAGGGTGGCCCGAGGCGCCGCCCCTGCCTTGGCATAGGTGGGGGTCGGCGGATTTTCTTTGGAATGACCATAAATGATGGTGTCGCTCGAATCTAATCACCCGGATGCTGGCTGCAGCTCAAATGTTGGGGGGCTTTACCCAGTTATGGTAGACCTTAGAGGCCTCTGTTTTTCACAGTGCTTTGAGGCCCGTGACTCATGTCAGCGGACCTAGCACTTTGAGGGGAAAAAAGGCGCCCATGGAGTGAACAACCACCGGTTTAGACCGAGAAGCAGGCAGACAGAGCAGGATAAGCACTAGAACAGAACACAATGACACAAACTCACACTGTCCTCAATTTTCCTCTTGATACATGATTCGTGATGACTCTTGCCTACTCTACTGCTTATTTCCTGGATTGTTTGCTGTTGTTTGCGTTTGCTGTCTACCCCTGATTTTCGATGTGAGATTTAGACGCTTATATAAGGCTCCTTTTTGCCAGAGCCTGAATATGGTCTTTTCGGAGAGCTTGAAGAAGACGATGTGCCTGTGCTGCAGCAAGTGTTTACTAACGCTTGCTTCTACATCGGCATGAAACAGAAGTTGCACTCCGTGTTTACAGAGAACAGTGAAACAAGACAACTGCGCAGAACCTGGCACTAGCGTGTGGCAATTGCTTTTCCATGAGTGGGATTGGGTTCTTTAGTTGGTGTTACGCCTTTGTGTTCATAAGGCATGACTCCACACGTTCCGCAAGTAAACCTTTGCCATATCAAGCAGACGATATCAAACTCAACACGCCCAAACCAGCTGGTTGTTTGTTGTGGCACTAGGGCGCGGCACTGCAAAAACCTCTGACAGGTGCCTGGAAAAGTACTTGCGGCAGAGGCAGCGTAGGAGGGAGCAGCTAAGATTGAAGTAGCACAAACTGACGCTGGAACAGATGATGCGCCTAGTGGCAGAAATGCTATGGATGCTACATATACTGAAGGTGGATGAGTAAGAGAGATTTGCAGCACAGAGTTCTCAGGAAAGCACATGCGTTCTTTTCCTGAAGTGTTCTGCAACTGTTTGATTCTCATGTACGCATTGCACCTTCACAGCCCAAGTACTGTAGATGAGCTGAGTGGAGTTACATTGCGACACGTCTGTGTTGACGGAGTCAGTGTTGACAGATCATTGCACGCAATCGTGCAGGGATAGATCCAGCGTTGCCGGGTCATTGCACAGTGGCATTGTAAGCTGAGCTCAACTTCTCCTGGCAGGGCAGTGTGGAACTCAATGCGGGACGCTCCTTGGTGGAATTGGAAGTCACCAACACTGGTGACAGACCAATTCAGGCGAGATTGGCGAAACATGACGAGACTGAGACTGTGTGCTTCCCGTACCGTCATCATGGTCATGATTCTCAAGGTCCCTGATCCTCTAGGATTGTCTGGCCGACAGAATGCCTATATGATTTTTTACAGCTTGCAACGTTCTGTTGATTCGGAAACGATATGAAATAAATCGAAATAATTTATGCTCTAATGACCCTAATAATGCTTTGTCTCGAATTTGAAGTCTACGCTTGTTGCATTTTGTGATGCGGACGTGCTTTCAGGTGGGCTCTCATTATCATTTCATTGAGACCAACAAAGCGCTCGTTTTTGACCGCGAGAAGGTGGAAGCAGCAACGACAAGTCAACTACGAACCGCTCTTGTAGATCAGTTCAGCCTATATGTAATGTATCATCCATAGTATGTTGATGTATGTTGGTGTATGTTGCTGTATGTTGATGTACGTTGATGTATGTCGATGTATGTTTCTGTATGTTGATGTATGTTGATATTTTAATCTGACATATGTTGATGTATGTTGCTGAATGTTGATGTATGTTGCTGTATGTTGATGTATGTTGATGTATGGTTGATGTATGTCGATGTATGTCGATGTATGTTGATGTATGTTGATGTATGTCGATGTATCTTGATGTATGTTGATGTATGTTGTTTATGTTGTTGTATGTTAATGTATGTTGATGCATGTCGATGCATGTCGATGTATGTCGATGTATGTTGATGTATGTTGCTGTATGTTGATGTATGTTGCTGTATGTTGATGTATGGTTGATGTATGTTGATGTATGTTGACGCATGTCGATGTATGTTGATGTATGTTGATGTATGTTGATGCATGTCGATGTATGTTGATGTATGTTGATGTATGGTTGATGTATGCAATGTATGTCGATGTATGTTGATGTATGTTGATGTATGTCGATGTATCTTGATGTATGTTGATGTATGTCTTTATGTTGTTGTATGTTGATGTATGTTGGTGTGTGCCGATGTATGTTGATGTATGTTGATGTATGTCGATGTATGTTGATGTATGTTGATGTATGTTGATGTATGGTTGATGTATGTTGATGTATGTTGACGCATGTCGATGTATGTTGATGTATGTTGATGCATGTCGATGTATGTTGATGTATGTTGATGTATGGTTGATGTATGCAATGTATGTCGATGTATGTTGATGTATGTTGATGTATGTCGATGTATCTTGATGTATGTTGATGTATGTCTTTATGTTGTTGTATGTTGATGTATGTTGGTGTGTGCCGATGTATGTTGATGTATGTTGATGTATGTCGATGTATGTTGATGTATGTTGATGTATGTTGATGTATGGTTGATGTATGTTGATGTATGTTGACGCATGTCGATGTATGTTGATGTATGTTGATGCATGTCGATGTATGTTGATGTATGTTGATGTATGGTTGATGTATGCAATGTATGTCGATGTATGTTGATGTATGTTGATGTATGTCGATGTATCTTGATGTATGTTGATGTATGTTGTTTATGTTGATGTATGTTGATGTATGTTGGTGTGTGCCGATGTATGTTGATGTATGTTGATGTATGTTGATGTATGGTGTTCATTTCCATGGCGGAAAAGTAAAGTATAAAAAAATTTAGACTTGGTTATTTTTCTAATCCTGTCAGATGGGGAGGCCTATGGACGTCGTTTAAATGTGCCAAGCGGCTCCGCAGTGCGCTTTGAACCTGGGGATTCCAAGGCAAGATCTGAAGCGCTGTCGCTGCAATGTGATTTTTTTACTCAACATTCCGTCAACAGTATGCCACGACAATTCATTAAGATTTGCAGTTGACGACTATCTGGGCATTTTATCGAAGTGGGATTGTGTTTTCATAAAGATACCGACAAAGACCCAATAGACAGTGCAATTCTAGCGCAATAGGTTGTGACGTTGGTGGAGATAGCTGGCAAGAAGCGCGTGGCAGTGGGCTCATGGGGATTTCTTCTCGGACCGTTTTCATGCCACACTGCAACTGCGCTCCGTGTGTCCCAACGCTCTCTGTGCCCCTCATAGGATGTGCAGTGAAAGGAACTGAAAGGAACTGTCATCCAAACTCTAAGAAAGTGGACAACATATTTTTGATGTTGCAAATTTTGCAAATGATATTTTCACTACATATGTCGTTATGCCCTTTACGTGTCATTACATTTTCTCTTTTCAAGCAGAGGGGTGAACCAACCGTCCTCCTGCAGCTTTCGAAGGTGTCTGGAAACCGCTTGGTGGATGGTGTAGCAAGCTGTGGACCCAACGCTGCACCATAGAGAGACACTGCAGAGACACTGCAGACATTGAGACACATACAAGGCTTTCTTCGTGATACTAGTTCTTTGTATTTGACATTTGCAAAGAACATTTAGTCAAGCCAATTTCTTGCAAAACACAGTGAGATCAGTGGGTATTTTTTCCAAAAAGGTTTTGAAAGCAAGGCAGGTCAACTGTAGCTTGAGGGTTTCTCGAGGTCCTGAACGCCTCCCAGAGGTGATGTCACGCGTACAACAGGGCGGCTTTGGGCACCAGGCACTGTCATAGAAAACTGAAAGACTTCATGGAACACGATGTTGAAACATGTTGAAACTGAATGTACAACATAGTCTAGAAATGTCTAGAACTGGATCAAGCAGAGGAAAATGTAGGCTGCAAAAGTTTCAACAATTCCAACTGTCAACGTTTTGCAGAATCAGATCCACTTTGGCAATGTCATTCTCCATCGAAGCCCATTCAGCAGCAAAGGCAGTCTCTGAAGCCGCTGCAGGCAAGCCTTTGGTTTCCAGCTTAGACACCCAAGAACGAAGAAGAAGGAAGAATAGCGACGAATAGCGGATTATTCCTTGGAGTGTGTGGAAAGCTTGTACCTTTTGCAAAGCACACACTTCTCACAGGTAAAGATTGAGCTTCCATGTAGTGGAGTCACGAATCACCAGGATTTGATCCCAAGCAAAGTGGATTTGTTACGGCAACTTGATGGCCTGGAGCATGGGTGCTGTGAAAAGCGAGAAGAGCTCTTCGAGGTCATAGCGCGAGATCGTTATGCCGAACTCTTTGGCCCCACAGTGGGAGACAAGGTGCGGGCAGTGTCTTGGAGCGACTGGGTGAAGACGGTGGAGAGTTGCCTGAATTTCAACACTTAGAAGACTTAGAAGACTTAGATCTGATAATTTTGATCCTTCGGAGAAAGATACAGAAAGAAATATGGGAACTGAAGTCAAACCACGAGATGCAATGGATTTGTTGATTATGCAACTATGGGCCACATCATCCATCAAGAATCAAGGATAGTTTGCAATGCTTGCACGGGCGTACAAACATAGGTGCACCGCCATGCGCCCACACACACACACAAATCACCCAGACCGAGTTGAATATTTTGGCTACAGTATATACTGTTCTTTGACAACGACCTTGTTCTTGCAAACAAATTTGCCAAAGCCTTGGTACCAACAAAAAAGGCAACCGTCACTTGCAGAGTCTGTGAATGTTTGTGAACAGGTTCTCAACATCCACCACTTATTTCTTCATCCCCTTCCTCACCCTTGTTGCCCCAATGGATACTGGTGCACGTTTGGTGCAGATCCTGCTATGACAGCTTGGATTGTGTTTCTGGGTTTGGTAACGAGTCAATTGGTCAACGGCGTTTTGGAGTTGGAAACCTTGGAATCCTTGGAATCCTCAGTCGTTGCATTGCGAAATGGACGTGAGATTCCCGTGATGGGCCTCCGAGCGCCACCAGAGCTTTTGGGTTGGGCATTTCGATTGGGCTATCGGATGACCGAAATAAATCATCGCTCTGCAAGCGAGGCGTTGCGTGAAAGTCAGCTCCCTCGAAGTGCCCTTTTTGTTTCGACCCAGCTTTCAAGCCATGGATTTGATGAGGCACACAGAGCAATTCGACACAGTTTAAGGCAGTTGAGATTGGACTACGTTGACCTACTGTTGTTGGCATCTCCATGGGAAGGGAAATTGATCGAAACATGGGATGCAATGGTAGAGATGAACAAGATGGGTTTGGTCAGATCCCTTGCAGTACGTGATTTTGATATCCACCACCTGGAGACTTTAGCATCTCATGGCAGGCCACTGCCAGAGGTCTTACAACTCGAGCTACATCCGTTGAATTTTCAAAAAAGAACAGAACTGATTCAATGGTGCAAAGATCATCAGATTCAGATCCAAGCCACCGGATCCCTCTCAGCACTCGCTGCAATGTCCTCTTCATCTTTGACGCTTTCACAAGAGATGGGAATGAGTGCAGCACAAATTCTTCTTCGTTGGGCTTTGCAAATGGGCTTCCAAATTATGCCCAAGAGTAGCAGGAAAGAACATATCGAAGAGAACTTTCAAGTACTTGCAGACACTGGTTTCCAGCTCACCCCAGAAGAAATGAGGCAGATATCTGATTTGGAGGGAAATGTGGGGCTGCATACTTTAGATGCTCCCCTCCACCTTGGTGATACAACTCGAAAAAACAGATCGGATGCAAGAGTCAAGTTTGAACTCAGCGCAGAGCTTTGAGCGCAAAGCTCTTTCATTTCAGAGGCTTCATGGCCAGCTGTCCACTTCAAAAAGACAAACGAGGGTAGGCTGAGGCAGGCTGAGGCAGGCTGAGGTCGGCTGAGGTCGGCTGAGGTCGGCGGAGGGCTGAGGCCTTCTGTCGGACTCTTTATATCTCTCTATGTTGCAAGGAAGCTTGAAGGTCTAATTTCCGTGTAACGGATTTTTTAGAATAACAATCACCACAATCACAATCACCATTATCACAGCCACCACTATCACAATCACCACTATCACAGCCACCACTATCACAATCACCATTATCACAGCCACCACTATCACAATCACCACTATCACAGCCACCACTATCACAATCACCACTATCACAGCCACCACTATCACAACCACCACTATCACAATCACCACTATCACACCACAACCACTATCACAATCACCGCTATCACGTCACCATTGTCTCACAGGAAAAAGATCTCACAGCAAAGAGATTCAGCAGCAGAGAACTCAAAGCAAAGAGATTTCACAGCAAAGAGATTCACAGCAGAGAAGTCTCACAGCAAAGAGATCCCCAAGCAGAGAAGTCTCACAGCAAAGAGATCCCCAAGCAGAGAACTCTAGCAGAGAAATCTCACTTTCAGATTTTGAGGGACGTCTCGCACGAGAGCTTCGTTTTCACATCTTCCCCTTTCAGATTTTGAGGGACGTCTCGCGCGAAAGCTTCGTTTTCAAATCTTCAACTCGTTTTCACATCTTCCATTTTCACTTTTTGAGGGAAGTCTCGCACGAAGTGCGATTTTGAAAGTTAGCGGATGCACGAAATGCTTTGTTTTGCAGGACAAAACTAAAACGTGTCCCGGAAGATGGACGGGGAAGCTTTTGCGGCGGGCGGTTGCGGAACACGCTCGGTTAGGGTCGGATCATTCTCAGATCGGCCCCGCAGTGGAACTGCCAGTTCAGGCGTTGTTTTGCCGACGATCTTGCGCGTAGTTCTTTTGTGTTTTGCGACTCAGTCTCTGCAGATCGCATTGTAATGGCTGCGTCAAGGTTGCTTGGTGCCGCGGCTGCGCGCGTAATACTACGGTCTTTTGCAGCTGGAAATCGTAAATCGTATTGGAGTGGCCGCATCAAGGGTGCGATTGTGATTCGTCAGCAGATTTTCTCAGTTTAAAACGCTTGCTCTGCGTAAAAGCTTTCTGAATGTAAAAACATTTCTGTGTAAAAGCTTCTCCGTGTAAAAGCTTGCTGTGTGTAAAAGCTTCTGTGTAAAAGCTTCTGTGTGTAAAAACTTCTCTCTGTAGATGCTTCTCTGTGTAAGGGCTTCTCTGTGTGAAGGCTTGCTGTGTGTAAAACCTTCTGTGTGCAAAGGCTTTTCTGTAAAAACCTCTCCTCTGTGTAAAAGTTTGCTGTGTGTAAATGCTTCTCTGTGTTAAGGGCTTCTCTGTGTAAAAAACTTCTGTGTGTAAAAGCTTCTCGGTGTTAAGGGCTTCTCTGTGTGAAAGTTGGCTGTGTGCGAAAAACTTCTGCGTGCAGAAACTTTTCTGTGTAAACACTTGCTGTGTGTAAAAACTTCTCTGTGTAAAAACTTTTCTGTGTAGGAGCTTCTCTGTGTGAAGGCTTGCTGTGTGTGAAAACTGTGTAAAGGCTTGCTGTGTGTAAAAACTGTGCAAAGGTTTCTCTGTGTAAAAGGGTTTTCTGTGTACAAACTTTTCTGTGTAGGGGTTTCTTTGTGTGAAAGCTTGCTGTGCTTAAAAACTTCTCTGTGTAAAGGTTTCTGTGTAAAGGCTGCTCTGTGTAAAAACTTCTGTGTGTAAAAGTTCGCTGTGTGTACAAACTTCGCTGCGTAAAGGCTTCTCTGTATAAAGCTTGCTGTGTGAAAACGCGTCTGTATGTAAAAACATGCTGTATGTAAAAGCTTGCTGCGTGTAAAAACTTCTCCGTGTAAGGGTTTCTCTGTGTGAAAACTTGTTGTGTGTAAAAACTTGCTCTGTGTTAAAGCTTTTTGTGAGTAAAAACTTCCCTGTCTCGGTGAAAAAGCTCCTGTGTGTACACACTTCTCTGTGCAGAAGCTTGCTGTGTGTAAAGCTTCTCCGTGCTAGGGGTTGCTTGCTTTGGCGCCGAGATCCGTTTTTGGGGCAGGTTTTGGGCTAGAGAAGAGCTGAGATGATTTGAGAGTGCGCTGAGAAGAGCTGAGATGAGGTGAGACAAGCTGACAAGAGCTGAGACCTGCTAAGGAGATGTGAGAAGAGCTCAGAAGATGTGAGAAGAGATGAGAAGACATAAGAAGAGCTGACATGAGCTGCGGAGAGCTGAGAAGAGTTGAAAAGAACTGTGAAAATCTGAGAAAAGCTGGGATAAGCTGAGACGAGATGAGAAGAGGTGAGAAAAGCTCAGGGTGACATGAGAAGAGATGAGAACAGTTGTGATCAGCTGAGAAGAGCTGAGAAGGGAGAGAGGACATGACATGGGATGAGATGAGATGAGGTAAAAAAAACTGAGAAGACATGAGA